CACTATTTAAAAACAAGTATTGCTATTGGCATAAATTTTAAAACTAAAAAATTAGCATTTTCCCGAATAAAGTTCAAAAGGGTAACCATGAAATGCAAACATAAAACAACTAAAAAGACACTCTCCCCATATATTTTGGTTTTTGATGGTAACCATGGCTTCAATGAAGGTAAACTTTGGGATTTTTCCTAATATCCCTAGGCCTAGGTGTATTTGGTTAAAATTTCAGCAAAATCCAAGATGGTCCCCATGGAGCCCCCCCTGGTTGAGTTAGCATGGGATGAATCAATACCTCAACAATGTAAAAAATCATCATCATGCTATTACATTTTTTTGGCAAAAATTGTTTAGAAAAAAAATAAAACTCCCAAAAAAATAACCATCAACCCCACCGCTAACTTCCCTCTTGCATCTTCACTTCCTCAGAACCTTGCAGTACGTTTTCAAATGGTGCAAGGAATCCTCTTTGCACAGTTTTCAAATTGTGCAAGGAAGAACGAATACTAGGGTCCGGCGAGCTATCGATTTGTGCAATGGCGCGACGCTAGAACATAATCACCTCATGCGTGACCATCCTGCCTGGCAACCTACGTTCTCTGCATACGCCTACGTTTTCTGCATATGTAGATTTGACCAAATTGCGTTCCAGAATCGGACTACTCGACGAGGTGACCCTAATGTTCTTGCATGCACAGATGACTTTTAGTGACATCATTACGTTCTACCATGAAAGCTCCCTAAACTAAGGCTAATAATACTGCATTCATAATCTGCAAAAGTCTCAAATTGTGCACAACATAAAAAACATGACAAAATACAAGTGACAAATTTTAAATACTGTACTGGCTACAAATTGTAGTAGGCCAAGCCTAGGCAACTTGTCTACCCAGGGAGATGTACCCTGGCTACACTAGCCTACCTAGGCCTAGGCCTTAATTTACCTAGGTAGGCATAGGGGGACCCAGTTACCGTATACTTAGGTTAGGCCAGGGGGTTAGGCTATTATTATCAAAATAAATTATGGGTTGGCAGATCCCTAGGCGACAGGCCTTTTAGGCCCCTACCTATATAGAATTAATCATTTTCCTGGTTCCTTTCGGTTTTCACGAAACAACTGGGATCAATCAGAGAGTACTTATAAACGAACGGCCACAGAGAAGATGGGATCAGATTCGACGGTGCGGAAGTGTGCGAGCTGGTTGTGGTAGGCCTATCCATGCACATCTTTAGTTAGAAACCAAACTTTTGTAAGGCCTAAAGCCCAGCCAGTCTAAAGACTCTAAAGGGTTGACGACGATGGCCTGGCAATTCTCAAAAATTGCTCACGCAGCAACGCAGACCGTAGGCCAAGTTACGGAAAAAACATTTATAAACTTGTAGTCATTCGGTCTGAAAATCACAGTCGAAACAACTAACCTGAAATTAGTCAATCAGCTGGACATCATCTCACCTTTGGCTCATATCGTCCGTCGAGAACCAGGAAACCAATCCATGTACATCAATGCAAATCCATCGATCACAAAGCAGATTCCCATAGCCACTGGGAAGGATATATCGACACTTTCATCCAATCAGAGGATGCCTTCATTGTAAGCCACACCCACGTACAACCACCAAGCATTGTAGGTCGACGGTGAAAACATATATTTCTAGAACAATTTAATACGGACACAACCAAAAATATTCAACGAAAGCAACGTGAAAATAAGCTACGGCTACATGAATATGAATTCCATCATCAGGGGACACAGCTCATGAAAATTAAATAACCCTATTACAATATAAATTTTCACTTCTCTGCATATGACTTCTGCATTTTATACATCTACCCAGTTTTTATTGTTCATAATTTTAATGATAAATGAATCATAATTATATTATATTAGGCTCATATATTACCCAATGTTTTCTATTCCATTATATTTATCAGTAGCATTTGTAGCTTACCCTTCTCATTATCAGTTACATTGTTTTTTACACTTTTTAAACAAATTATCTTGCTCCCTGCATATATCACTATCTTTGTGTCTCCATTATTGTATATCTCACTAATCACCCACTTTTATTTAATACCGATTATTTATTGTATTATCTGATCTTATCTGATTCGTTTCCTGAATAAAATATTTTGTGTTCTACTGTATAACTCAGCGTTTTTGCATCACTATACTACCATAGGGGGAAACGTTAACAATGGAAAGGGTTAAAAATAATACCTTAAGGCGAAAATACTGCCGCTAAGGGGAAATTTTAACAACGTTAAGGCGAAATGTAGACAAAGGATTTTTTACCCTATGAGTTAGTTAGGAGTAGTGTATATATATAATATATAACTAATAGATAAGAACTTCCCAAAGGAGAACCCACTAAACAAGATCTTTAACAGAAACACGGTGAAAGTCAGCTACAGCTGTATGCCGAACTTTGCCAACGTTATCAAATCTCACAACGCAAAAACTGCTTC